CACCTCCTCTGTGCAAAACCCTAAACCCTTAAGCTTCTACCTCTATCGCCGTCGTCACTCCCGTTTGCTCCGTTTCCAGTGCTTTCCTCTCTCAAGGTCATTGCAACAGAGATTGAGGTCGGCTGGACCTTGATTTGACGCCCAAATTCATGAGTTTCTCTTTACTTTTCCCTCTTCTCCATTGTTGTTCTTCGTGTTCTTCGAAATTTCTTCATGTGGGGTTGTTACCACCTTGCCCGTGCCCCTTCTTTGGGGTAAAACTGGTGGATATTCATAGAAATTAGGCAAACTGGAATAAAAAACATAAATGGGGCCCCTGTGCCCCTTATTTCCTTTAATTTCAGTATATGGTCCTTAGTTTAGGATGACCTGATTGACTTATGGACAAAACCGAGCTAAATTCCAATTTTAGATACACAAATAGGATAGAGCCGAGTCGAGCCGAGCCGGAACTGGTTCGTGCTCTTCCCAAGTGACTATGACTGCCCTATAAGCTTATAGGAACATCTAGCCGAGATAAGTGTCAAGCGGTTCGGATGAAGGCCCAAAATAGGCCAATTGATTTAAGTTCATCGCCGAGTTGAAAATACCTAGTTAAGACCAGAAGGTACTAGAACTTTCGTGGCTGAGCTAGGCGTGTTTGAGGGTCGTGCACTCGTCGCCGTACTAACACTTGCACTTATTTTTAACGATATAGAACTAGGACCGACCAGGCACACATCGACATCACCATCGGTAAGGCTCAAAGACCGAACAAATAATCACCTAAGCCGCTTAATTATGATCGAGCTACTATCAAATTTACTATATAGAATAAAACCGAGATAAATGGAGAAATACCGCATTATGGTTAGCTCGCCTGGGGCAATGGCCGAGTTCCACAGAGAATACAACATTCCAGACGACGTCCACCTAGAGCTGGCCAAGAAAGGAGACACTTCCTGAGGCAAACTGAACAAATGCCCCTTCACGGTCGTGTCTATTATGGAAGGTGGCTTACGCTTCCCGGTCCAACCCTTAGTCTGCGAATTTTTTAGGCAGACTAGGTTGTGCCCCACCCAAGTCTCCAACAACACATACAAAATAATAAACAGCGTAGCCATGCTGAATCGGATACTCAGTCTGAATCTTGGCCTTGCTGAGATATTCCACCAATACACACTTAGTAAGAATAAGTGTGGCTTCTGCTAGTACCTGAAGGTTAGAAAAGGCAGAGCAAAGCTTGTACAAGGTAACCCAGATAAAGAGATGAACGATGACGACTTTTTGTGGGCGTCTGGAAATTACAAACACACCGAAACGCCCATACCGGGTAGTACATACGTAAAAATTTTGGGAGCACTAGTGAGCGTCATAGCACGGTTTAATTGTTTGGATTTGATTTATCTTTGCCGATCTAACCCTTGTTTCATTTTTGCAGATTACAAACTCTTAGCGGACGATTACTCCAACGCTAATCGAGAGGCTATAAGGGTTGCTCTTCGGCATCCGATCAAAGAAAGAGAGGCCCAAAAGCTGCTCGAATATGAACCGAGCTATAGGCACACAGCACTGAGCAAAAGCAGGATCACCGACTTTCTTCGTGCCCCCTCTCTAGAACCAAATCCAACTCTTCCGTTAATCAAACTTCTCCCCCTGACTACTGAACAAGAGATGGCAAAAATCGCGCCATCAAATCGATGATCATGGGTGAGCCGAGCGACTCGCAGCCTATAGAGATGGTAGGAGGCCAATCCTCTCGACCAGTCGTGCAACAGGAGAGACCAGTATTGGCTCTTGCTAGTGAGCAAGTTTCTGGTCAGGCAAAGGCGAGGTTCGACCGAGCAACACTGGGTCGATGAATATTCAACCGAGATGCCGTCCGTCGATCAAGGCGAGCAGACTGAACAAAACTTTGCCGAGCAATCTGCACGCCCTACTACCCCCCCGGTCTGGTCGCCCGAATTGAAGTACAAGGGCCGAGCGGTGAGCACGTTTGATTCGATGTATGCTGATAAGGACTACTCGCTCGGTTTCCAGATGACCAAGAGCCTGTTTCTTCCAACCAACATGAAGAGGCAGGAAGAGCTTTCCGACCTGAAAATCCTTAAGTCGATCATGAAATCAATTGTTTTGGTATGTATGCGACCTTCCTGGTTAACAAGTTATCGCTTGGCGAGTATTGACATCTTCTTCATTGCAGGCCGCGCAGAAAAATTACCTCGCTCATGAGCGCATGATCTTTGTGCGGCAGAGTTTGCTGGAGGCAATAAATGATAATAAGACAAAGACGGTTGAGCTGGAGAAACTGAAGACCTTTCACGAGGCAGTGCTAGCCGAGCGAAAGCTCCTAGCTGAAAAGCTTGTGAAGGCCGATGAAGAGAAGGAGAAGGTCGTGCAAGTGAAAAAGGAACTGTATCTGGCTGAGCTGCGCAAGCTCTGCGCCGTCCATAAGGCCGAGCGGAAAAAAACAAGTTGATGATGCCGAAGATCGGGGCTATGCTGGAGGGAAAAAAGTGTATGAACGGCAGGTGGAGGGAACTAAGGACATTTTCTTTCGGTGTAGTTGGAAGGCTGCAGCAGAGAAACTTGGCCATGCAAGTGAAAAAGGAACTGTATCTGGCCGAGCTGCGCAAGCTCTGCGCCGTCCATAAGGCTGAGCGGAAAAAAACAAGTTGATGACGCCGAAGATCGGGGCTATGCTGGAGGGAAAAAAGTGTATGAACGGCAGGTGGAGGGAACTAAGGACATTTTCTTTCGGTGTAGTTGGAAGGCTGCCGCAGAGAAACTTGGCCAAGGGTCAGAGTCGGATATCTTCAACAACCCTCCGCCTGTCTTCATTCCTACATGCATGCAAGCGTATAATTCGACCGCGCAAAAAAAGCTTATCAAAGTGGCCCATACAGCTAGAGCCAAAGAAGAGCCCGTTCAACAGGCTGCGAATGCAGCCGCACTACTAGCCATTTCTGAGGAGGCGTCGTAAAGCAATAATCAAGACGAGCTAGATGCTGACGTGGGCCTAGATTCTGGAGTTGAGGCCACGCAGCAAGTCGATGATGAGGAGGTGGCTGACCAAGAAGACACAGTGAACATAGATTAGGACTTCTCTCTTTCTCTTTTTCTTTTTGTTTTTTGTTTTTTGTAACCAGGCTATGGAGAAACCCACCTTTTGTAACTGAACTTCATCATGAACGAAAAGCACGACTTTTTGCTCACCATACGCATTCGTTGTTTCATTCTCTTCAATTCTTTGTTTGAATGATTGTGATTATTGCTTTCAATGTTGCCGAGATAAAAACTGCTTGGTTTAATTATGTCAGGCTAAACTTGCACGTAGCCGAGATGAAAATCTGCTTGCAGTGCTCCATGGTGTAATGATCTTTGTTACGCCAAGCGAATTTCTGCTCGGATAACTTTTCAAATGTGTATAAATGTAAAATTCCTTTACAAAATTAGGGAAGCATGCATCTCTCGAGAAAAAATTCAGCTCAGTGTGATGAAAGATTAATCCATGAGCTGGACAAAGTGCAAACTGTTTTGTAGGCGAGCAAAAGCAACTCAAAGTAACGAAAGAACTCAGCTCGATATCATTACAAAAATCGTTCATAACACCAACTTTCTCCATAGCAAGAAAAATTTGCTCGGGGTAGCGAGCGAAGTTAGCTCGGTTTCCAACCTCAAGTTCAACAAAACACCAATTGTTTGAGCGGGTGAACAAAGTCAGCTCAGAAGGCATAACCCCTTTTGTCGAGCAAAGTCAGCTTGGTTCTAACATAAGTTGGGCAAAACACCAGCTTTTTCCTCGGGTGAGCAAAATCAGCTTGATTGAGGGATCCTTGAGTTTGGACAAAGCGCATACTCATTTTTGGCGAGCAAAGTCAGCTCGGGTTAACGAGTAAAGTCAGCTCGATTTTATAACAGAAGTTGGGTGGAACACCAACTTTATCCCAGAGAGCAAAATCAGCTCAGAAGTTGGGCATATCATCAACTTGCTTCATACATTAGCAAACTCAGCTCGACAATGGTGAGCAAAAATTAGCTCAAGCAAATATGAGCAAAATCAACTCAGAACAAGCGAACTGTTTGCACAGCAGGCAAAGTCAGCCAGGTTTGAGCAAATTCAGCCTGGTCTTGTGCCCTAATTTTCCACACTGTGGACCATCGCAGCTAAGGCCGAATTGCCCCTAGCACTCACAGTAGCTTAATACTTTAGTACAGAAATGCATAATACAAGAGAAAGAAGTGGCTAATTTCTATTACACATCATACATTACATCTAATAACAAAAGGCCAAGTTTCAAAAAATAAAAAAGAATAAAAGATTACATTTCAAAAGTAAAATAGCTTGAGGTTGGCCGCATTCCATGGCCTTGGTATGGCTTTGTCGTCCAAGTCCTCCAAATGGTACGCTCCTTTGCCGGCCAGGCTTACTATCTTGTATGGGCCGTCCCAATTTGCAACTAATTTGCCTGCTCCAGGGACCAACGTGTCGCCCATCACCTTCCTCAAGACCCAGTCCCCAACTTTGAATAGACGTGGATGCACGGTTTTATTATATTTCTTGAAGAGCTTTTGTTGATAGGCCGCAATGTAGATTAGCGCCCGTTCCCTTCTTTCTTCAGCCAGGTCCAACTCCAGGGCGATAGCTTCACCATTCAAGTCAGGCTCAAAGTTTTCAAATCGGATGGTTGGCATGCTGATCTCCAAGGGTATAACTGCCTCTATGCCATAAGCTAGGGCGAATGGAGTCTTCCCGGTCGAGCGCCTCGGGGTAGTTTGAGCATGTTGGGGAGTTATTCAGCCCACCTGCCTTTGGCCTTCTCAAGTTGTTTCTTCAGCCCGTCCAAGATAGTCTTGTTTGAAGCTTCGGCTTGACCATTTGACAGAGGGTAGGCCGACGTAGAATTGTAGAACTCAATCTTCAACTCTTCACAAAATTCGCGGAAGAGTTTTCTATCAAATTGCGTGCCATTATCTGAGATAAGGGCCTTTGGGATGCCAAATTGAGTGATGATATTCTGCTAGATGAACTTCTTTACATCTTTCTCCTTGATGGTGGCCAATGGCTCGACTTCCACCTATTTGGTGAAGCAATCAGTGGTAGCAATGAAAAACTTGCAATTGCCTCGGAGCCGTTGGGAGTGGCCCAACGATATCTAGCCCCTAGAGGGCAAATAACCATGGACTTGTCAAGGGGAGCAACTCTCTGGCCGGCTGGTGGATCTGATGAGCAAAATTTTGGCATTTTTCGCATTTGCAAACATATTTTTTGTTCGTCAGCTTACATACACGGCCACCAATAACCTTGGGAATTGCTCGGTATGCTAGAGATCTGCCCCTAATATGGCTACCACAAATGTCTTCATGAATCTCGGAGACAAAAGCCTCAACCTTGCTGGGATGGACACACTTTAGGTACGGCCCAGTAAAGGACTTTTTGTACAAAGCGCTAGATGGAGAGAGTCAAAACCGCTCTAACTTGGCCCTAATCTTGTTGGCTTCCTTCTTTTCAGTGGGAAGAATTCAATTTTTTAGTAAGGTAACGATTGGATCTATCTAGGACGGCCCAAGTCGATGTAGAAGGTTCCTCAATGCTTGATCGAGGTAAGAATTCTATCATCAAAGGATTGGGAAAGGACGTTTGCATAGATGCTAGATCGGCCAATTCGTCGGCTTGACTATTTTCTTCACAGTTAATTTGTTTTATTCTTATCGCAGCAAACTTTTTGACCTCGATGCGCACCAGCGCTTGATATTTGGCCATCCTTTTATCCTTGGCCTCATATTCCCCAGAAACCTGATTGACCACCAGTTTGGAGTCGCTGAATACCATAAGCTCTGATGTCTTCATTCGTAGAGCACTCTTCAACCCGGCGAGGAGAGCTTCATATTCATCCTAATTATTGGATGCTGGGAACCCAAGCGTGATAACATGCTCAATGGTCAGTCCATCTGGCGATGTCAACATGACCCCCAACCTGGCGCCATGCCTATTGGAGGCTCCATCGACGAAGAGCTTCCACATCTCACCAATGAACAATTTTCAACAGTCGAAGGGATTTTGAGAGTTTTTCAAATGCGAGATACTGGTCAATTCAGCCATATGCTTTCTTGTATTTTCACCTAGCTTGTCATTCGGTAAATTAGCCGGCTCCGCCCCTGCTAGCCCGGTATCATCTTGCCGTTCTATTGCTTGTTCCTCACCCTTTTTTTGTGTCATTGAAACCGTAGGCTGTGCCAAGTCCGCACTAGCCAAATCAATAGAACAAACAGGATGAGTGCCAGGGGAAAATTCCGCCACGAAGTCGGCAAGGGCATTAGCTTTAATAGCTGTGCGCGGCTAGAACTTGATGTCGTACTGCCCCAGCTCTAATGCTCACTTTAAAATTCTGCCAGTGAAATTTGCCTTCTCAAAGAGCACCTTGAGCGAAAATTCGGTTAACACTATTATTGTGTGGGCATAAAAATAGTGCACCAACTTTCTGGAGGCCATCATGAGAGCTAGAGCCAATTTTTCAAGTGGCAGATATCTCGATTCGGCTGGGAGCGGTGTCTTGCTGACATAAAAAATAGGGAGGTGCTGAATCCTTTCAGCACGGATGAAAATTGTGCTTACCACATACTGAGAAATTGCTAAGCAGAGATAGAGCCCTTCGCCTAACCATGGTGTGACCAAGATTGAAATTAAAGAGAGATATGCCTTTAGATCCGCCAAAGCGCGGTCGCACTCTGCATCCCAGAAAAACTTGGCTTTCAAAGTCTTGAAAAAGGGCCTACAACGATCTAATGACCGACTGATAAATCTGTTCAGCGCTGTCGTCATTCCAGCAAGATGTTGCACGTCCTTTATGGTGTTTGGCCACTCCAGTTCTTGTATTGCCTTGATCTGAAAAAGGTCGGCTTCGGCTCGGTTGGTGACCAAAAACCCTAGAAATTTTCCAGTTTCGACTCCGAAAGCACACTTGGAGGCATTCAAGCACAGCTTGTGGTGTTTGAGTGCGGCGAACATCTCTGCTAGGTCGGTAAGGTGTTAGGATTTATCCTTACCCCTTACTACCATATCATCAATATAGGCTTCCATAGTGCGGCCAAGAAGGGGAGCAAATATTTTGGTCACATCCTCTAAAAAGTTGCCCCGGCATTTTTAAGACCAAATGGCATGACCTTATAACAGTACAAGTCTCTTGAAGTGATGAATGAGGTAATCTCTTGGTCTGGTTCGTACATGGCAATTTGGTGGTAGTCGCGATACGCGTCCAGAAAACTAAACCTTTGATGGCCAACTGTAAGATCCACCAGCTGGTCGATTCTTTGGAGGGGGAAGCTATCCTTGGGATAGGCGCGGTTGACCGTTTTGTAATCAAAGCACACTCGTCATTTTCCAATTTTATTCGGCACCGCTATCATGTTAGAAATCTATTTGGGGTAATGCACTTCTTCAATTGCCCCAGTCTCTAGCAAGTTTTTTACCTCTTTCGCCACCACTTCGGCATGGTGCAAGGCCAAGCGACGTGTTCTCTGGATGACTGGCCAAGCATTGGGGAAGACGTTCAACTGATGAAAAATGAAGCTTGGGTCGACGCTAGGCATATCGTAAGGCATCCACGCAAAGACCTCAATATTGGAGATTAGAAAGTTGATGTACTTCAACCGCTCGACGCTAGACAGTGATGAGCCCAAGAGAAAGAATTTGTTTGGATCATTCTCATCAACCCGAACCTCCACTAAGTCTTCAACCGACTTTTCTTCAGCTTTTCTTCCCACATCCTCCAGGACTTCCTTTCCTTCTGGCCCTTTTATCATTTGGACAAAGCCTTTGGCAGCTCGGTTGCCATTTACTGTGACGAAGCATTGCTTCGCCATCACTTGGTCCCCCCAAACCTCTTTGATTTGCCCGGCTGGAGCAGGAAAGTGCATAACCTGGTGGTAAGTTGACGTCACTGCTTGCATGGCGTGCAACAAGCCCCTCCCCAAGATCAAGTTGTAGGTCGATGGGACCGTCAGCACCCAAAACTCCACTTGCTTCGTAACTGATCTAGCCTTGACCAGCAATATGATCTTCTCGATCAGCCATTCTGGTTGAGAGTTGAAACCAACCAAAGGAGACGTTGCGGGGGCCAAGTCTTTGTCCTCCAATTTCATCTGCTTGAATGTGTCGTAGTACATGATCTCGACCGAACTGCCCTGGTCGATCAAAATTAACTTGATGTCAAAATCCTTAACGCGAAGCGTTACTACCAAGGCGTCGTTATGTGGGATTTGAATTCTCTCCAAGTCCTTGTTGAAAAAGGATATGATGTCTCGTATCTCGGTCTTCTCTTTCTTTACGATAGGCTGAACAGAGAGCACTTCCCTCATGTGCTTGGCCTCTTGATCATCCCCTTGAGTTCGCAATCCCGTGCTGGCTCGATGATGCCGTGAATAACGTTGATGACTCCTTAGGGTGCCGCGTCCAAGATGGCAAGACCATTTGGTTTGGCTTGTCCTTGCGGAGCAGCCCTCATGCCTCCATCTATATTCTGATCCAAGTGCCCAACCGCAACCAGCTCTTCTAAGTATTGTTTCAGCGGCATGCAGTCCTTCATTCGGTGCCCCATTTCTTCATGGAAGGTGCAACAATAACTTGAGTTGAAGCCCCTCTGTGTATCTCCCAATTTTACCAACTAATGAACGTATGGCTCACCTCGGATTTCACTGAGGATGCGATAAATTAGGATCTTAAAGACTGTGGTGATTTCGGCTTGTGCCTTCAACTTTCTCTTGGCATTTTCCTCTTCGTTGCGAGAAGCGTTAGCTCGGTCATTCTCACGGCCTGTGTTTCTGTCATTGCGGTTAGTATCGCAATGTTGTTCTCTAACTCGGTCATTAGGGTGGTTATCCTCCTACCCCACTGAGTGAACCTTCCCAGCCACACGTCTGTCCATCGCAATCGGATTTACCTTCTCGGTTATGGTTGCTGTGGCGACATCATCCTCAACTCGGATGCGCTCATTGATCCGCTGCATTAAGGATTCCATAGTTGTAGGCTGATGCATCGTAAGCGAGTCTCGCAGCCTATGTTCGACTGGTAGACCTCACTTATATTGGGTGATCGCCAAATTGGTGGGGCAATCGAAGATTTCATTGTAGGTCTCCCAATACTTGCTATTGTATGCCTTCAAAGAACCACCCGACTCTATCTTGATACCCAGAAAGTGGTCAACCTCCTTCAGTGTTTGAGTATTGGTCTTGAATCTGGTGACAAAGGCTTTCGCTAGTTGTTGCCACCCCTCGATACTCTCCTCTGGAAGCCTTTCAAACCATTTTAGCCCTAGTTCTCCTAAACTAACTGGGAAGATAAGACACATCAAGGCATCGTTGCGCTGATGGCCTGCCATCGCTTGCCGGTAATGACTAACATGCTAGCATGCATGTACGGATCCATCTTGTCGTCGTATAGCGTGAACTTAGGTTAGTGGAATTCGGTAGGGAGTGGTGTGCACTCGATTTCTGGAGATAGTGGGGTAACGGTAAGTCTTGCCAGGTCTCTATTAATTAGTGATGGAGCCACCACTCTTAGCACTGGCATGGCCACCTCCTTACTGCAATAGATTTAGGGGTTCAACCTTTGCAACGACGGCACACTTTAGGCCTCTCTGCGGCGTGCTCGCTCCTCCAGCACATCCCTTAGGTCCTCTAAACGGGCGGAGTAAGAGTATCTCGACGTCGTCGAGGGATGGTAGCTGCTGTCTCATGTGTAGGACCTCTCCATCGATGGGTCGGAATCACCAACTTCGTAGCTTCTGGTGATAGAGAGCGAGGGTGTCCCTCGTTAGTGATGAAGTCAGAGCGACGGGGTTGGGTGCACTCACTATGGTCGCCCACTCTAGAAACACCCTTCCCTTTGATTTGTTGCTTCAACTTCTCCATTTCAGCCGCCATCTTCTGAATTAGGGTGTCCTGTTCTCTAAGTTTATGCTCCAGGCGCTGAGCAAGCGATTCTCCTCGCCGTTGACGACCCTCAGGACTCTTTGAATGGTCAGTGCTACTCGCACGTTTGTCTTGCACGTCCTTGGGCTGCCCTCTAGAGGAGGTCTCCAGGCCCGCCATGGTCGAAATAGAGGGAGGGCCATCTTTCCTCCGGACCAATCTCTGGTGTGACGCCGTCGATGACGGACAGTAGTGTTTCGTCGTTGTTTTCCATGGAAATCTGTTAAAAAAGCTTGGAGAGCAAGGTTTGTCTGTCAATGACTTCCCACAGACGACACCAATTGTACGGGAAGGAAACGTTTGTTGTTCTCCGTACTCCTTATGTCCAAGCCTCGTGTGATGTCGCTCAACCTGAGAACAGAAAGATGGTGAGCTGTCCGGCAATGTACTGCCGGATAAACCCTCCAACAGTCGAGTTAGTACACTTGGAGAAGAAGAGAGAAGACAGAGCACTTTCTAGAGAGAGAGTATAGATCAAAAATAGCTTACCTCTAATGGTTGCATGCTCCTCCTGTTCAAGGCTGGCCATCCAGCCTCAGAGATTGTGGGCGCACTACCTCTGTTGTCCTTCTCTGGACAGGCGGTTGTGCTCCTCTCTATATTTCTTACACGTGTAGAGACCAAAACCCCCAAACAGTGTTTGTCCCACCACCAAACGGTATTGACGCATACCAGGAGTAGATTTCCCTTTTCTTATCATTGGCCTATGTAGAATATCAAACCGAGCTATTACTTGGTGAAACATAAACATTATGATGGATAGCTATTGCCAAGTAAACCAAACCGGTCCATTAGAACTGACCAGATGCGGGGCATGCCGTTCGGCATCTCGGCCTCACACATCAATCTCATGGGTCACATCAGTTCGAACCGTCCATAGCTCGGCCCAACGCATCTGTGCAGACCTAACCAAATATCCGGTTCCACATGATCCTAACTCGACTAAACACCGATATGCCTCCATAATCCCGGCGGCCCTCAGCCTGGCCCAACGTAATGGGCCGAAGCGTTGTGTTGGTGCAATTTGGCCAAGCGCAGCGTCTTTAGCCCAACACCATATTCCGTGCTGCCGTATCTCGGCCCACTTGTTCAACACAAATCTTCCCCTCAATAACAAAATGTTTTTTTGTAATTTTATTATCATTAAAATTAATTTTACTTATCATGCACTTTGTTACAACGGGACTGTTTACTACAACTTATATGAGTTGTATATAACTTATTTTATTTTCAGAGCCCGTATTATAACTTATTAGGTAGAAATAACTTCAAAAAAAAAATTAAAATTTTAAAAAGTGTAAGAGATATGCTTTTACCTTCTGTTTTTAATTATCAACTTTTAACTAAAAATAAATTATATCAAACAAACCCAACTTACCTTGGATCTGATTGTGCTTACTTGTGCTTACATATTTATCAAATGAAACCACTTATCGCTTAATCAAAAAATAAATTTGTTCGTATATTTTAAAATTTTGTACATAAATACTAATTTTAATTGATTCAAAATAATGAGTTTTATATGCAAAAACTATATTGAGCTGGCGTTTGGAGACTGCATACAAAAATGAAGGTTGTGTTTAGTTAGTTTCTCTAAACATATTTCCGCTTCTTATTTTGAGTGTTTTGTTTATTTAGAATTTTTAAAAATTAATTCCACACCCACTTATGAAAACTCTTTCTGAGGCGGGAAAATTTGGACTAACCGGTCGTCCTCCCGAACGTCCGGCCTGTTGACCGGGATAGTTTTTTTTAATTTTATTTTATTATTACAATTGGCACCTATTATTTATTATATTTTGAATAAAAAAAATTAGAATTTTTTTTTAAAAAAAATTATAAGCTTTGAATAGAATTTTGAATTGTGTGTTTGGTTATGAGTTGTAAGTTTTTGTATCAAATATCATATGCCATATCAAAAATTCCTACTCAATTCAAAACTCATTCACCAAATAAATACAACTCTATTCTCAAATCATATTTGGAAAACTTTACCAAACGCTACTGAAGTTTTGTTAATTAAAAAAAAAAATCAAAATGCCACTAAATTCTTTGTCATCAGCTAAAAAAGTCAAATGTCTCATTAATTTCTCATTAAAAAAAAAAAAACCTTTGCAAATATATTAGTTTTTTGAATTAATTACACTTTTCACCCTTATAGTTTAACTCAAATTTAACTTTAATCCCTATTATTTCAATTTGAATAATTTAGTCCCTACACTTTTACTCCAATTTCAATTTGGTCCATCTGTCTAAATTTTTATTAATTTTTTCTATGTGTAAACTTTAAAAAATTGACAAATATATCAAAATTGTTAATTTTCACTTTTAACTTGAACAAAATGACCAAATTGAAATTACACTTAAAGTGTAGAGACCAAATTGTTCAATTTAAACTATAAGAACTAAAATGAAATTTAGATCAAACTACAAGAGTAAAAAGTGTAAGTAACCCTTATTTTTTTAAGGATAAATTACAATTTGCTCTCTTTATATTTGATCACTTTTTCACTTTAACCTTTAAAGTTCCCCCCCACCCCTCTGCTTTGACTCATTCATGTTTTAAGTTTTTCTTAGTTTACCTCTGCCAAAAATTAGATAGAAAATAATACATTGACAGTCACATAGTATAAAAATATTTTATTATATATAACTCACACATTTGACACAAACTCATATTTCTAATATAATAACATATTTTTTATCTCATATGATTGTTTATGTTTTTATTTTCTATCCAATTTTTAAAGAAAGTTACTTTTAGAACTAAATTAGAAAAAAATTAAAATATTAAAAATAAACTTTAAGGGTCAAATTAGGAAAGTGGCCAAATATAAAAGGTTAAGTACAATTTACTCTTTTTTTAACTCCCAAAAAAATTTTAAAAAAAAATTATTTGGTGTGCTTGACGCAATTTCATGTGGTGTACACTAATTTAATTCTCATTGGTTAAGATAATGGGATCCAATAATTTTTGTTTGGTTTATGGTGGACAATATGACAAGTGTCATTTATTAAATTGTCTTATTATTAATAACAGCAATGTTAGATATCATGAAAATTTTGTCATGAAAATAATCATGAAAGTTTTGTGACCCTTAGATTACACTTAGAATAAAGCACCACGCACTAATCAAGGTAATCTAAGGATTATAAATTTTTCATGATCATTTTCATGACAAAATTTTCATGATCCCTAACTTTTCCCTATTAATAATGAGCGTCTCTAAAGCATAAGTAAAAGGCAAAATAAATAAATAAATAAATAATATAAAATACTTTTTATTAAATTTAAGGCACCTTTATTAAAACTAATACAGTTATTAATATTTTCATACAATTTCAAAACACTTTTTAAACATTTCTCAATATTAAACAATACATTTATTATCATTTGTCTTTGCAAATTTATTATCATTTGTCTTTGTAAATAACGTAAAAAAAATTGTTCCTAAACCACCAAATAAGAAAAATGCTACATGTTTCAAAAATTTTATCAAAATTTTTACCAAATATCTCATATGAGTATAGAATTCACACCATATAGGTCCCATGCAAATCTAATATCCATAAAATATTTAGTAGAAATTTTGATAAAATTTTAAAGGTGCTTAGCATTACTAAAACAAATAGGGCAAGACTATCTTGATTGTAAAAATTGGCCATAGTCCGTGGGCGGCCTAAAGCTCACCTGCGGCCTAGGGTGGGCCTGACCGGATTAGGCCAAGGCCCGAGCCTAGCTCAGACCGAGACCCTAGGTCTAGGCTTGCGCCATCGTTTTGAAGCCCGACCCGGCCTGCCTGGATCGCCCTATCGGCCCGCACAAGGCTCATTCAAAACCCAAGCCGCCCGAGGCCTAGTGTCATTTTTTGTTAAAAAAAATATAAAAAAAATGTTCAAGCCCTGCCTAAGCCTGAGACCAAGCCCATCGGCCCGCCCAAGGCCCGAATACACCTAAGCCTGGGCCTTATTTGCTGGCCCGTGGGCCTGCCCGACCCTGCTCGAACTTTGGCAGGAGCCCGCGAGACCCGATATGGGCTGGCCCCAGCTCGGGTCCGGATGGGCC